TCAGCACTGAAAGAAAATCGATTTAGGAAAAGGGGTTAATTCATTTATAGGTCATGGGTGAGCCTCAGGAGTAGGTACTCGAAATCGTACCTTGTTAGACCTGAGAGCCCGTCCTCCGTACGGTGTCTGACTGCGGAGGTGGGAAGGTCTGGTGGTCTTGGCCCATCAAGTTACTTGTCTACAGCATAGCAGACAGCTTGCATCCCTCTCTTCCCCCCAAATCAATAGGAAGCAGCGTCCTTGTGTCTCAACACCCTGATTTAGGGAACCAGCAAAGTTTGGAGCAGTCTCTGCAAAGGAGAATGGAGGGGTTTTGTTTTTGTTTCCAGGGTTTTTTTGTTTGTTTGTGTTCCCACTTTCGCTGAGACAGGCCTGCGTCATTCCCTCGCTCCAGGCTTGCTGTGAACCTGGCGGCAGCCGTGAGCTTCCAAGGCGGTCCCACTCTCCCAGGCTCATCCTGGTCGCCCTTGACTGCGCGGTGAGAGATCAGACCTGGGAGAAGAGGCAATCGCAGCCAGGACCGACATCAGAACAAGTAGCAAGGGAGTGGCGACACATGGTGGGACAGTCAGGGGCCAATCCTGTAGGAAACGTTCGGAAACGAAACCTGTATTCTTATGAATGTACTCCGCCACTTGTATAATTGCAAGGGTGAGCAAAAATATAAAAAATAAAAAAATAAAGATGAAAGCACTTTCTGAACTTCCAAACAGAACAAACAGGTCGCCTAAATGGACACTTCCCTTTGTGCTCACGACCTGAAATAGTTAAACATGTTCCCTGGAGAGATCAGCAAGACGAGATTGTATTTAGGGACGAGCTTGCTTATCTGCAAGGATCTGGAAAAATGGATTTCAAAACTTTTGGATGGATCCCCTACATCTAAGGTCCCTTCCTTTCCTTTTGGCACCAAGAAAATGTTTTCAGTTGAAAAGTGATGCCATGCAAATTCATTATTTATGATTGCACCCCAAGGGCTGGCACAGATCAACAGCTATCCTCTTTATCATGATTAAACAGATTCATTTTTTACATTTAATAGACTTTTTGAGAATCAAAGCAAAAGCGAGTTATTTTTTTAAACCATCCACTCTGCTTCTTCGGTATTTCCATTCCCTGGGTTATCTTCCGTAGGTGGAAAATGTTCACCAGAGCTGTCTCTTTAAGACTTCTTTATTCTTACCTGGTTTTCTTTCCTCTCTCTCTCTTTTTTTTCCCTTGTTGGGAACAAAACTCTGCAAGAGAAGAGGTAGGTATGCTGTTACTAGTAAAGAAATACAACTGGATTGTAGCCTAATGCAGTCATTCTTTTGTTTCCGACACTGAAGTCTTCATTAAAGCCCGGGGAACTGCTTCCCGGAGCTCCTGACCTTTTTGTATCAAGAGAGGACTTTACAGGACTTAAATTCTTTTTCCTTTGTTGGCAAACAATGTTCTTTTCTTCTGAATATGGATGATGATCGGTTCATTTAGAGGCTACAGGATTTTTAAAAAAAAAAAAAAGGGGGAAAGCAAGATTTAAAGCTCCCTTCAGGTGACTCTCATTCTCGAAACAGGGATACGAGCTGCCCTTCGTAAAGGTCCTCCAGTTAGAAATGAAAATGTAGCTGGTAGGACGTAGGGGACCAGCAGCCAGTCCGGAAGATAAATTTTAGTCGCGGGCCATTTCCTAGTTGGGGCCTGACATGACGAGGGTACGGTAAAGTGTTGTGCTTTATCTGCCTGGTTTTTAACCACTTGTACGGTTTTTTTGTTTGTTTTTTTGTTTTTGGTTTTGTCTTGGTCCAACCAGGGTCATTTTCAGCTTCGGAAGGTTAGTGGGTAGGGTTTCTTTTTAGGATAACGGCCGGTCTGTCTTCCAGTAGCGTATACAAAAGGCCTGGTCGGACTGCGGTTCTGTCTTACAGTTGTGCTGAGGGATTATCAATTTACTCCACTAAATGCGTTGACTCAGAAGGACCGTTTTTGGGTCACATGGCCGATAGGAACTTGTGTTATGTTGGTAATAAAGGAGAACATTACTGAATATGGCACAGAGGATTAAAAAAAAAAAAAGTCAACTTTAAGCTGATGAAAAACAGATTGGAAGCTCAGGTTCTATTTAAAAGATGACACAGAACAAGAGTATTTGTTTTCCTAACTCAGCCATGCCAGCCACCTCTTATTAAATGAGGTTTAATTGTGTACCTTCGGAAAAAAAATATACTTAGGCTAATATATTTAGTCTGTATTCTGTGTTTACATGAAGGGTGTGTGTCCAGCCGTAAATCTCGACACTGAAATGTTCTGCCTGTAAACATTTTTACAACATTTATTTATAAGATTCGTTTATTAACTTCATTGCTTGGAGGTGGGTACTTTAAATAATAGTATCTATCAGAAATGATAATTAATTTGACCCTTATCTGCTTCTGCAGTGTGTGTCTCCTGTGAGCACTTTTATTACCTTTTGAAGATAATATAGTGGTTTCTTATTTGGCAAGTGGATGAAAGTAGAATGAATAGAAACCAAAATGAACACCGTGCATAAAACACATCAGCATATTAAAACAGACATTGTTAACAAATTGCCCGCTGGTTTAAAAAAAAATACGGCTTAAATCAGTTAATGTTCTAATAAATCATTCCCTTCATTCAAGTTTTGACTGAAATTGTACTCATTTTGAAATACATATTTGGCATGTCATGACAAAGAAAAATAATTCGAATCCACTAAACTCTTTTCTTCTGATGACTGCTAAGTAAACATGAGTAATCGTCTACTATTTCCCTTCAGATTGACAGTAGAGTTTTAAGTGGCAGTAGGAAATGGTTAAATTTAACTTTTTTCTTTTTCTGGTCGCGGTGACTCGCTGACATGAGCACAACCTCCCTACGGCCTGCAGGTACCCGAGGAGTCTGTTTCAAGCTCAGCGTAAAGCAGCTGCAGCTTTCTGCAAAGAATCCCACTAGCCCCCCAGTCTTTGGAGAGAATCATCCCTTTCCAGACCTTTTCTGAATGAGAAAAAGGTGAGGGAGGTGATGAGGGAGACCCTTCCTGGTGGTGAGCAAGGTGATCGCATTTTAAAGGTGTGCTCCCATGCCCGTTCTCTAAAACCATCAAAACCATGACTTTCAAACCCAGAAATCCCGGGCCCTTCCAGCATTTAACAAAGGAAGGAAATTCTGTCTTTTAAACACAAGGCAGTTTTTTTGTAGAGTAGCTTTGGTAACGCCTCTGCAGAGTGTACTTTGGAAACCAGGTGGACCCTTTATCGTAGACCTCTTACTGGACACGAATTTGCTTTAGGAGAGCCCCTGAAGGCAGACATATTTGGGTCCTGTACATCCCGACAGGCTTGTGGTTAGTAGAAGCCAAGAGACCTCCTCCTCATTCTTTGGTGTTGAAGCTGATTCCTTAACCTGTTCTCTTTCAGCCTCTTTACCTCCCCAAATCCCAGTCCTCAGAGTTTGGGCCCCAGAGCGGATACTGGCCATGGTTTAGAGCCTTGGTGGGAGGAGGATGAGTAACAGCCCTCCTCCCTTTGGGAACCTTCCAGAAATCAGATGGAGGAGGAGAAACGCCTAGCTTGTTGAACTCTTGTTGGAATTGATCATTACGAAGAGTAAGACAAAGTAGAATCTGAAGAACTTCTCAAGTAGAACAAAGACTTTCAAATACCGAACACAGCGATTGTTATCTCCCTGATGGGGAACTCTTACCATTGCTTAGATGGTGGTTTAGTCTTTGGTCTTAAACTTGGTAGTTTTAAGGAAGACTTTGACCTGGGGTCTTGGGGTCTTTCAGTTCAGGAATCATTTTGAAACATCATATGACCAGTGATTTTTCAGTGCTCTTGGGGTATACGGGACACTTAATCAACTTTGTAAAAACAAAGTGTCCTTTTTAAAATGTCTTTTAATATTTGGATTTTGCCTTGAGGCAGGCATGTTTTGGTCAGGCGAGATTTGAGGCAGGTGATTCCCTTGAGCTGTTCTTGGATGCCTGTGGAAGAGCCCCGTCTCCTCCCGTTCCCACATCTGTGCATCTCATTGTTCAGCCCCGTTCCCTGAAAATACCCAGTTGGGCTCTTCCCTGCTGCCCATATTCTTTTGGCCTGGGTTATTGGAGCCTTCCAGAAGGAAACGTATGTGGCCTACGTACGCTTGCATGAACCGGGTTCTCTCCTGAAACCGAGAAGGAGGCATATATTGCAAGAGTGACTTAATTGTGGTTCCTCCTCATGCACATGAATAGGAAAGAGCTATTTAAATTAAAATAATTTCCTTAGTACACACGCCACAATGGGTTTCAGGTTATCCTGCCCTTGCAGGTAATGATGAAGTTCTGTGAGGCGTGTAATCCCGATGCACAGACAAGATAATGTGGGGATCAGCTGGTCCAAAAGCAGAGGCATCTCTTGACACACAGAGGCGCCGCTGGGCCCATTTGTCTGCATTCTCTTAGGACAAGAGAACAGGGCGTCCCGTTCCTGTGTGGGGAGAGGTTCCCCATCCCAGAAGACAGCTCCACCGATGGAGGGAACATCTTGGCTTCTTCATCAGTGCACGTGGGAACATATTGCCCAGTTTTGCTTTGAGTCACAACCGTCAACAGAACATACTATGTTCTGGAGTCGCACCAGGAGTGACGATAAACTTACCGAGCGCTCTTGATGTAACATTCCTGAAATAATCATATCCATGTATTTCCTGTGTAAGCAGATAGTGCTAGGAAGGCGTTTTTAAAAACCAGATCATCCTTTCTCTTAAGTTTCTTCTTAAAACAACACATTTCAGCAGTTTCTTTTGTTAGTGTTCAGGGGTCCGGAAGATATTTTGGGTCCCACTTCGTATAATAGAAAGTTAATAGAGATACTGTTTTGTCTGAACAGACATTTGCAACCGTATTATTAATGATTATAGTGAATTTTGGTTTTATATTTTAATTCTGGAATGTCGCATTGAAATAAAATGCCAAGAGCCTATAATAATAACATCTACTCTTCTGGGATATTTAGGAACCTGTTTTATTCACTGGAACAATGAGGAAAAATCTGGATCCCTTTAATGAGCATACGGATGAGGAACTATGGAATGCCTTAACAGAGGTAATTTATAAAATGGAATTATTAAACTTGTTACCATCGGTTTGTATGTCTGTACCTATAGAACATTGTGAGTAATTAATGGGAACGTATTGGTTTGACTCACTTTGTTCACCCTCCAGGAGAGCGTTGATGACTTGGATACACTTAGAATGTGTGTACTGGTGGTGATGAAAACCAAAAGTAAGATATCTCATGTTTTCATTGTAATTTTCTTCCTGGAATCCAAAGCCACTGGATATATTATCTTACTTGTCTTTAGCAAAGCACTAAACTGGACATTGTATTTATGGGTCCAAGTTTTAATGACCAGTTAACCTGCAACATTCATTTTACTTCTCTGTTCTTGTGGAACGTCCACTAAATGAAGACAGTAAGAGTTTTTCATTATTGACGGAAAAGGTACATGAGATCATACTAATAAAATGCTTTGAGGATTTATAGGTTAGTGTTTATTAAAGTTAAACAGAAGGTGTAACAGTTAACTTTTGGCAAACGTAATTTTAATGCACTAAGTACGTGGAAATAACAGAACCCTGGAACTTTTGCTCAGTTTTTACACTGATATATTCGTTTCTAGAGGATTTTCTATTATTCGTATAGTGTTTCCATTTGGACCACTCCTTTGAATTTCCTTGCCCTTGCATGGGAAGGATTCAGGCTGTTAGGATGCTGTTGGTTTGTATGTTTTGACACTAATTGTTTTATGTCCTTGCCCTAATTCTGCAAATTGACTCTAAGCTTCTGGGTGGCAGAAACCATGTCCGACCTCTAAACCTTAGGCAGACTTCTAAACCCTCGAAGCACCTAGATCAGTCTTCGGCTTTTAAAAAAGCACTTAATAACTAAGTACTAAGTATTTGATCTCTTCATTTGGAGACCGTGTGGCTTATTTCTTTACAAACAGTTGCACACAGCCCGTGACTGATGGCTCACGTTATTGTTGTTTTGCATTAATGTGTTTGTCACTGAGTGTCACCCTTCCGGGGAAAGCTGAGCTCTTCCAGTTTATAGATGAGCTTTGTGAGCAGGCCGAGTTGGAGGCCCAACAGTTTCCTGCCGGTCGTTCTGGTTTCTGAAGGCGTGTCCGTGCTGAGTCTTTACACACCCACCCCGCTTTCCAGTAACTGTAGGGATTTTATTTGCCTAAATTGGGCCGATTACTTCACCTCCTTCCTACTTGAAAGCAGGGGATCTCTGATTTCATTTAAGTTGGTGGGTCTTTTCTGGTGAAATTCTAGAAGAGCAGAGGTGGGCAGAACAGTTAGCCATCAAACCTAAGGAAAAATAGGACGAACATTAATGCTTTTGAACTCATATGACAGATTTTGATGGTGCAGTTGTGACACACCTTAATAAAACAGGAATTACTGGTAAATTTTTTTTCTGTTTGTTTCAGAGCTTGAGTTCTCTCCTGATAGATTCTCAGATAGTAAAACTACTCTAGAAACACACTGTTCCAGGACCATGAAGAAATGTTAATTAGGAGACAAATCCTATAAAAACTATCTTGGAACTTTGATCAGAACTTATTTTTTTTAAGATTTTATTTATTTATTTGACAGACGGATCACAAGTAGGCAGAGAGGCAGGCAGAGAGAGAGGAAGGGAAGCAGGCTCCCCGCTGAGCAGAGAGCCTGACTCGGGGCTCAATCCCAGGACCCTGGGATCGTGACCCAAACCAAAGGCAGAGGCATTAACCCACTGAGCCACCCAGGTGCCCCTTGGTCATAACTTATATTTCATCTTAAATTTCTTTCTTCTGCCAAAATTAAAATAAAAATTAATAGCTTCTCAGAATTCTAAAAATGATGCGATGGAAGTGGTTATAGTAAGATCTACCTTTATTTTCAACTACATTAGGAACTTTCTTGAATAGAAATAAGCATGACTGTCTCACAAAGTGAAGTGAGTGGTTTTTGTGTGTTGCTTCTGGAATTGACCTCATTGCTTCAGTGATACTTCTTAGAGTGAGAATTCATCCCATAGTTGTGTTTCTCTAGAAATGATTTCTTCATGACGTGTATGTTTTTTCACAAAAGATTTGGTAGATTTTCTTAAAATAGGAATATCTCATTGTATTTACAGTATGATTCCAGCTGTTTTAGTCATACACAGATAGGTGTACCTAATAAAGGCACCAAAACATAAACATTGCTCAGTTGGGGAATAATAAAGCAATAAGTGATCCCCCACCTTTGGCTTTCTTGAATTCTCCAGATTTTCTCTGGTGTACTTTATTACTTTTATCTTCTGGAGCGTACTCCTGGCCGGTGAAGTCCCACACACTTGGCACAGCGTTTACCTGGGTTCCATGACCCTCTTCAGGGAGGTTCGTTCTGTAATAGATCAGGGACCCTTCACCTTGAGTCCTTAGAACCTCCAGGTCTTTGGAGTGTGGACGAAGAGACTTCCTTCCCGAAAATTGTGCTCCTGGTAGAATAGATGCGGGTTTATCCGGAAAGACACCATACAGAGGAGTCAGTCTAATGCCATTCAGGTTCTTCTCGATCTCTCATAATCAGCCTACCCACCATCTCCACAGCTTGCTTCTTCCCATGATGTCCGCACCTGAGTGCGTCAGAACCAGCCCTGCTCTCCAGTAGAGGGTAGGAGACCGGTGTCTTCGGCACCTCCCTTAAAGGTGGGCTAGCCACCGGGGTCAGCTGCTTTACAAATGATGCCAGACAGGAAACGACTCATCGGGTTGGCTTGAGAGCCAGTAAGAGAGCACTACTGTCTTCTCCTGTTTAGGAAGTCCAGTTAAAACGATTTTTTATTTTTAAGGCCTTTTGGTTGTGTTTCCTCCTCCTCCTCCTCCTCCTAGACGAGCCAGAAGGTCAGAAGGGTGGCAGTCCTGTGCACACTGCCCATCTCATCTGAACTCTTTTTTCATGTATTGAAAAATAGTCACAAACCAAAGAAAGTTCACTAGAAAATTGGTGGCCATTGGGGTACCTACAAAGCAGCAGCAATATTTAAATACAAATAATGACTAGAAATGAAGCAGTTTATTAGTCAAGGGGCTAAAAGATTATAACATATAAAACTCAGTAGTATGATACTCCTTTAAAAAGCCACAACGACAATGAACAGCTTTAATACTGGGATGTGCGATTAAGAGTGGGGTACGTCATATTAGAACATGGAGGAATTGTCTGGTTATGTTCACCGCTGACGGTGTCTCTGTTAGAATACAGGTCTTTCTCAATATATAGGAAACCAAGCCCAAGAACTCCGAGCATCAGCACTCTACCCTTGGGGGGTGTAATACAGCTCTTCTTTTGTGATATGTTGCATTTCCATTTCTCATGAGGCTGCGTATTTTGGTAAATGAGCTCTCCCTTCCCTTCATTTACTGTTGGCTTAATTCTAGGAAAAGCTCCTACCCACCTGTTGATTGCATTTCAGACTCTCTTCTCTCTCCAGCCTGCATCAGCCTTTCTCTTTGACAAATAAGAAAGTTCCACAAAATGTGGAGAGGATGCGGCATCCGCGTTAGCCTCCTGTGATGGGGGCTGGCACCTGGTCCATTCTGTACACCTAGCAGGTTACCCTGACGAGGTTACGATGATGCAAATGGCTGTCATATGAATTCAGTTCATTATTTTCAGTTTTGCTGTAGTTTATTATTTTCCTAAGGTTAAAAATAATCTGAAGGACTCTGTATGGAGGAGATAAGTATTTTTGAATAGCATTATTTGAACTTTTATCCTTAAATTATTTTTTTTAAGATTTTATTTATTTATTTGACAGAGAGACAGATCACAAGTAGGCAGAGAGGCAGGCAGAGAGAGAGAGGGAAGCAGGCTCCCCGGTGAGCAGAGAGCCTGATGTGGGACTTGATCCCAGGACCCTGGGATCATGACCTGAGCCGAAGGCAGAGGCTTTAACCACTGAGCCACCCATGCACCCCTTAAATTATTTTTTAAAGCTTTTTATTTTTTATTTGAGAGAGAAAGAGAGAGAGAGAATGAGATAGAGTGTGAGCAGGGGGAGGAGCAGAGGAAGCAGCAGCCCCCCTGCTGTGTAGGGAGCCTGATGTGGGACTTGATCCCAGGACTCCAGGATCATGACCTAAGCTAAAGGGAGTTGCTCAACCAACTGAGCCATGCAGGTGCCCCTCCTTAAATTATTTTTTAAATGCCTTTATACACGTTAAAGTATGATGTTAGGATATCTTGAAGCTGCGTAGCTGTTGTGAGGAACTCATTTCTTTTACAATGACATTTAATAAGAAGAAAATGGTATCTTGTATAAATTACATGGATTTGTTTTCTGATTTTTATAGGAGTAAATATGTCACAAAATGAGATACACTGTGGCTTCATTCATGCATCCAATAAATACCCAGTGGGAGCTTTTTAGAGAGGCATTCTTGTAGACTCTGAGATTCTTACAGTCATCAAAAGAGACTATCCCCTCTCGGAGCTAAAATTCTCTTGGAGTAGATGGAACATAAGTCAATGGATATGTAATCAAGTCTCCATACTGATGTGTGCAAAGAAGAAGAAGCCGAACACGAAGGGAGTTTAACTGACCGCATTATGAGATAGACAGTATCTATTGATCTCTTTGTATCAGACAATATTGAAAACTCTGCATATCCTGACTCATTTTATATTCCAACAATGTTAGGTGGTAGACGCCTTTAAAATCATTACAGTCTTATTTACAGGTCGGGAAGCTATGATAGAGAAAGTTAATAACTTGTCCAGTTGGCAGACCCAGTCAGTACTCATGCCCAGGCTGCCTGACTTCCGGGTCCCAATTTTGTATTTAAAAATTTTCAGATCACAAGAAAACAGAAGCAATAGTATGACGCACACACATGCACCCTTCACCTGGTTCTTATATGACCACGTCTGCTTCCTCTCTCCTGTAGTCTGTGCTGTGCTGAACCTGCTTGAAAGTAAGTTGCAGAAATTTTCATTACAATTCACCCATAGATACCTAAATATATGCGGTATAAGAATAAGGACCTCCTCCTACATAATCCTCATCTCACTCAAGACCCAGAGGCAATATTATGCTGGTCTTAGGTTTTCACATTCCCTCGGTGTAACTCCTGCTTACTGCCTTCTGCTTCTCTCACCTTTTCTTGGTTCTAATACTTCATTATAGATAGAATGAATGAATGAAAACACTACAGACGGCGTTCATGTTCATATGATTCTCATAATCAGCCCTGATTGGTCATTGAAGACAGAATCTCAGAAAACTGTGTTTTCTGGAAAACCTATTTATTCTTCATCAGGCAGTTATGGGCAACCCAAAGGAGGATTAAAACCCAGGCTAGTGAGCTGTCACATGAGTCAGGGGGCGAGCATGAGGTTATCTCTTCCAACGTCAGGATGTCCAGTCTTAAGAAAGATGCATTGGCTTAGGTGTTACCAAAGTCAACTCGGAAGGAAGAGCTGATCAAAGCCTCAATGGGTTCCATCCCCTGGGGTGCAGATCTAGGAATCTTTTCATAAGAAGAATCACCTGTGGGCCCTCTTCCTTGTAGTGGAGGGGGTTGGCTAAGCCAAATCTCTCATTTCATACTTTCCAGTGCACGGACTGGCCCCCACCATCCTGATCTTACGCTTTAGATTTTATAGCTTTCGTGCGAATGCTGAGTACCAACACCGTATTTATCCCAACGCAGATTCCCATTTCTGGGGATTGGACTTTGGTCTTAAGCACAATAATCACATTCACAGATGTGCTTCAACATTTAGGGTGCTGTAAAAACATTGCTCACGCACCCTTGGGTTTCATCATTTGACGTTGCGGTTCCACGTGCCTGCTCTTTTGGCCATCACCCAACGATCTCTTGGTTCTCTTAATTCCAAGTGTATTTACTCTCTATTCTTTAACCCTCAAGGATAGCGTGAGTTTGGTTCTTGTAAAATTTCCCCAAATAGGCATGGAGCTGAGCTCTACCACTCAGCCTGGTTTCGGATTATCTTCGGTGTTGAACAGCTTGTTGTTTTTGGAACTTACAATTGTTTGAAGGTTGATTAAGATAAACACTATCTAAACTCAGAGTCTGGGGGAAATAAGATGTGATGTTGTGCCCTGTTTCCATGAGTTTTCATTCACTGGAAATCCTTTATGAGATTAAAGTAAATGCACTTGACCGGTCTAGCAGGGTGTATTAAATTTGGGAAAGAGCCCATCCCCAAAATAGGTTCCAGGTTTGCTAATATATGAGGTGTGGTTTGCCATTGTTTGAATTTGTGAATTTATTTATTTTTTTTAACTTTAAAACCTTCCAAAATGGTAAAGTGCTGACAGGATTATATCTTTAGAGAAGCATACTTCCTGTAATAATTAAATTTTTTCTTCTCCCTTTTGTGTACCAACTCCCATACAAAAACGTATTCTGGGAAACTTGACTCAACCATACTGATCCATTTAATGTTTTTAGTGTTTAGACTACACTGAGAGAAATAGCTTTATGTTTTGAGAAATTTCCGTACTTAATCCTGAGAGAGGGGTTCCTGGTGGACATCATGTGGCAGGGGTGATTTCTTATCACCAACTTGATTGGTATCATTTTACATATCAGAAAATTTCCTCACTGTAAGTGTGACTCAGTAGTTTTTGGTAAATTTGTAGTTAGTCATCATAACAATCCAGTTTTAGAACATTTCTGTCCCCCACCCCCAATTCTCTCTTATCTATTTACAGCTAACCCTCTGACCCCAGGGAACCACTGTTCTGCTTTTTTCTTTTTTTATATTTTTAATTTTTTATTTTTTTAAACATATAATATATTTTTATCCCCAGGGCTACAGGTCTGTGATTCGCCAGGTTTACACACTTCACAACACTCACCATAGCACATACCCTTCAGTGTCCATAACCCACCCCCCTCTCCCAAGCCCCCTCCCCCCAGCAACGCTCAGTTTTTTTTTGTGAGATTAAGAGTCACTTATGGCTTGTCTCCCTCCCAATCCCATCCTGTTTCATTTATTCTTCTCCTACCCCCTTAACCCCCCATGTTGCATCACCACTTCCTCATATCAGGGAGATCATATGATAGTTGTCTTTCTCTGATTTACTTATTTTGCTAAGCATGATACCCTCTAGTTCCATCCACATCGTCACAAATGGCAAGATTTCATTTCTTTATAAATTCCTACAGTTACCTTTTATCTAAAAATTAAAGAGGGATATTTTTAATTGTTCCCTATGTTACCTTGAGAATAGCTTTATTCAGCATACTGTATATCTCTTCATGTGTGAACAGACGGTGCCTACCGATGGCAACACAAGAGTCTAGCCTCCCATTAAGCATGTGCTCCTAAGTCAGAATCATTCTGTCCTGAGTTGATACAACTGTCTTTTTCAGTAAACAGCGATTGGCAGTTTGTCCCCCCATCACGTGACTAGGCATGTAAGACGTGTGACGTCCTGAGGACTTCAGAGCTCTTGTGTCCAATGGGCTTGTCTGCTTTAATAGGAGTTTGTTTAGGAAGAGATCATTCTTTCTGCATCCACAGGTACAGCTTAAAGAAGCCATTGAAGAACTTCCTGGCAAATTGGACACCGAATTAGCAGAATCGGGATCGAACTTCAGTGTTGGACAGAGACAGCTGGTGTGCCTCGCCAGGGCCATCCTCAGGAGAAACCGGATATTGATCATTGATGAAGCGACAGCAAACGTGGATCCAAGGTACAGAACTGAGGTCCATGGACCCTGGAATTCAAATTTTAAATGCGGTCAGTGAGAAACATTTCATGATGCTGAGAAATGTTTCTAAGCACTCTCTCTGCCCCCAAGACACCTCTTGATAACATTAATTCTAGAAAACAGAGGGAGAAGCCAAAATGAGTGATATGGTGTGAATGGTTTTGGAAGGCATCCTAACAGAGCTAGTTGCCTAAGTTCAATTCCTGAAAGTTTCAAGCAATTGGAGGGAAGAATATTTTACATCATTTATATGCAAAATAGGACATTTCTAAATAGATTTTTTGATACTCAGTTTTTTCAACAAGATCATGTCTGATTTTTTTAAAAACATTATGAAAATGTCATATGATAGTTTTAAGTCTTAAGTCTGCTTTTCCCCATCTACTGAAATAAATCCAATTCCTTTTGTTCCAGAACTGACGAATTAATACAAAAAAAAATCCGTGAGAAATTTGCCCAGTGCACCGTGTTAACCATTGCCCACAGGTTGAACACCATTATTGACAGTGACAAGATCATGGTAAGACTCTCACCTGTGGCATTCCAGGTGTTTCCATTAATGTTCAGTTTTTCAACTTAACCATCTGTGTACAACCTGATAGAAACCTCCAATAAGTTTGTTTTCTGCTCATCCCTGACAATAACTTAAAATAACTCATTTTTCCTGACAATCCCTGACATCCCTGACAATAACTTAAAATAACTCATTTTTCTGCTCATCCCTGACGATAACTTAAATACTTAACTGTACCTTTAGAATATAAAATTATATAATAATTTCCTATTTCCATTTAAAAAGTTTTTTGAATTGTCCTTTTTCTGTATGATGGTCAGCCATGGAAATATTTCAAATCCAAGATCTGGCCTCCCCTTACAGCGGGTAAAACAGTCATTTTCATTGTGGCACAGTTGTTTCAGTATTTTGGATTTTCCTAATAAAAAAAATTAGCCTTTCATTTAGGCTGCCCATTGGTTGTTGGGTTAGTTGCAGAATTTCTCAGCTGTTGGGATGTTCACGAGATGTAGCATCAGAGGGGAATCTGAGAAGAGAGGCCCTGGTCAGAAACACAATGTATTTCAACAGAAAGGAATTAAGGTAGGATATTTAACATAGGAATTGGAAGTCTGAGAACGTGGAAGGGAAACACTGGGGTAATAATTTTAGGAAGCAACTACTGAGCCTCAGGACAGATTTCCAGACCCAAGAACTCAGAGGAGAGTCGCTAAGGACTCCTGTGCTCAGACCTCCCAAGGAGAGCCACTGCCCAGCTGCAGGTCACGTCTGTGAGGTGCACCAAGAGGCTCGTTCTCAGTGTGTGTTCTAATGGAAGATGGGGGCTGGCACCAGTTCCCAGGCGATGCTGCAGGAGTGGCATAAGCCAGGGAGACCTTTGGCTCTGTGTCCCACCTTCAGGGCCCCTCAGTACCCCCTGCTGGTGGAACCCAACAGTGCACCCACTGGCCAAGGTCTCTGACATGGGATTTGCAGAAACTCAGCCCCAGCCTCTCACGTGAGATTGTAGGAAGAAAAGCAGATCTGGACCCGAGAGGCTAGGTGACCAACCAGCAAATCTGTCACACGGTGGATCGGGCGATCACACACGTGAAAAGCTCCAAGCTTTGGTCTCTAGACCTTGATTGGCTTTTTCTTTCTTAGTAATTTGGGCTTTCCTTACTTATTTTTCTTTCCCTTTTTCCCTTCTTCCCTCCTTTTTGTCTCTATCTTCTTCTCTTTTTTTCTTCTGTCTCCTTTCCCTCTGTTGCTTGCTCAGGTTCAGTAAATCCTAGGATGTGGCTTTATAAGATGATAAGAAAGCCATCCCTCAAAGGCAAAGCCTTTGTATTCAAATGATCCCAAGGAATGTGCGTTATTTTCAGGCTGCCTCTCCACCTGTGGCAACAGGCTGACTTTCTGCTCATTGTCACTAGACACTACAGTGATTCTTTGATTAGTGGTGAGGAAGTAAATAGATAAAGAAGACCTACACAGTGCATGAGAGGCAACAGATGGGGTTAACCAGTGATTTTGATGGTCTGGACTAAATAGGTTAATAATTAGTAATAAACAATTAGTAATATCCAAGCTTCCTTATGTCCGGTGAAAATGGAGCTATCTCTTTGGACTTTTTGGGGCAGTTTCTGGAATATTGCCTCCCACCCCGCTTCATATGCATTACCAGACGGGAATGGGGGGGTGGAAGGGGAGCACTGAGAACACCCCAGACTCTCCACAGTGAAGCAGTGCCTTCAACCTTGGCACTCCCCAGACCCGGACACGAATAGAATGAGCTCTGACAAGGCAGACAACAAGAGTTGGGTATTCCCAACCAAAAGGATGCTTTGGGTTTCAAGCAGTGTGGCCGGTCTGGACTAGAATGTCGTGGGAGGAAGCAGACCACCCCAGCTGTGGTGGTCCATGATGGCGGGACAGTGACTCTTAGATTCTGGAAACATTTAGCATCAAGCATCCTTAGTCCTCCATTTTGTGTTCTTGAATGGGAACTGGAAAAATAACCTGTCATTTCTGTTTGTTTCCTGTCATGGTTGTTCTCGTCTCTCGGCATCGTATGTTATAGGCCATCCCCGGAAGCGTCCTTCCTCCACAATAAATGAGTGATGCCGTGACGTTTCCCTGTTTGCCACACTTTGTCAGGCCTTGGGGGTGGCAGGAAGCTGGCTTGATCTCCAGTTCATTTGGGGGCCCGTCCAAAAAAAGCCCTTGCTCCTAAATCTACCACATAGAGTTAGTTTTGGTGTTTGGTCTGACGACAGGGATGGTAGCTCCTTTGTGTCGCCTCAGACTCAGACTTACTTGGAGTATTGTGGCCTTGGAATGCGTGATCAGTTAGGGAAACAGCAAAGGACAGAACCTGGCACATTTGTTTGCTGGTCGTTCCTAAATCCTACCCGTCAGGGCCTGACCCACAGGTGAGAACTTTTCTGTATCCCCTTAACCAGTCAGCTTTATTGCTGTTATCAAAACATGCCCATTTGTACCAGTCTCTCCCGGTAAATTTCGAGAACCTCAGATTTTTCTCTCTCGGTCAGTGTCTTTGTCCACAGCCTTAATAGGGTTTTGCAAAGCAATTTACAGTCCCTCCCTTCCTTTCCAACCTGGCCTCACTCTGCTCTCCCTCGTTCCTTAAAGAGGGAGTTAAAACCGCATAGGTAACCTGTCAGTCGCCTTTCGGTTCGACCGGATGATGGCGGCTCAGGCTAAGGCATTGCTGGCGCCTTGGGTTGCTGAGATGGCTGGGTTGGTGGCCGATAAAGGACGATGTGCTGGGTTGAGCCTGGAACATGAGGGAAGGGGCCTGAGATCCGGGGGAGTTGGCGAGACTGAGGGACAAGTTGGTTTGGAGATGGGAAGTGCAGGGTTCTCTTTAGAGCCTGTGACCTGTGCCTGGAAGGCCTTTATTTTCCATGGTGGCCTCTGCCTGTTTCCATGGGGCTGCCGCTACCACCAGGAGAGGTGACTCGGCCACTAGATCCCATCGCGGTCAGAGCTGGTTTTGACTGCTGACTCCTTTGACAGGAACGGCAGGAGGGGACCTCAGGGAACCCCGGTGGCATGCGTTTCCTAGCTTCCTCATTGGGGAGCTGTCCTCTGTGCTCCGTCCATTCCAGGTAGAAACCTTCTATTTTATTCTAGAGCGTCTGATATCCCATTGGCTTCCTGTCCAGCGAAACACCATGATTCGTGCTCTTTTCTCGAACCTTTGACTTGGGGAGCAATTCTTTTCTTCTTGCTGGCTTTAGAAATACCCATTTTCTTTCCAAAAAGCAAGCGATGGTCTGTTCTGTTATTCTGAAAGCTTTAGGGACATAAAGACGCATCCATCAGCTGCAAGGCCCACTGCTCAGGAGAGGGGTGGAGGGTGGCCGGCCTCGGGGAGTGACTGGGGAGGTAACGGATGCTAAGGAAGGGCATAACCAACAGCCCTGTCTTCGTAAAGTCGTGTAATTGTGTGCATTCGCGGTGTCATAATTACATTTTGTCGCACTGGTGAATACTTCTGCACAAAGACATATGGATATGGTTTTGTTTACTGTAAGTAAATCAAACAAAAGACTTGTTGGGAAACAACTGTGACCTAATTAATAGCTTTGTTTATGTGTTGGCTCTCCAAAGGGATTTGCCCAGTTTTGGTTCGTTAAGCGCCATTAATGTGTTAGGCTTACAATTCTATTTTACAAAGATGTTCTCTCAATTTTAACTTTATTAAACATGATGTAGTTGTCATGACAGCTAATTTAATCTTCCTCATTTACTCGGTTGCCACAAAACAGTGGAGCAAGACAGACAAATTAGAAATCCTCTTTCTCCTAATACTCACCACTGGTTCTGCGTTAAAGACGGCTTCTTCCCTGTTGCTGGAGGATTAGCTGGTTACTGGTGACCTGTCTTCTCTTCAGCCAGGGCGACAGCTTTTTCCTCTGGTCCCCGCGTCCCCAAAGTCCGGACAGCATACCCAGACTCCCCCCGGCAACGGGAGCAAAGGAGGCGTCCACTACCCACCATTACTGCCTGCCGTCTGGGTTCAGCGTCTTCACTGTCAGGAGTTGGGGCATTCTGCAGAGCGATGGCCGGAGCTGAGAAGCCCGGAGTCCTCCTCTTCCGTTCACAGGCCATGCTATGGTCTTATGGTCTTTACCTTTCTTCCTAAACTCCTGCCCCTTTGGAGTAGAGTTTTTCTCAGAGAAATCAAACCTGACACTGTTGTAACATACCCACCTGGAAGAGCACAGAAGCACAGCAGAGCTACCTGGAGTTTGAATTAAATCCCGTTTTTCACCTTTCTGGAACTTTCGCTTCAGGGAACCTCCGTACGTGGCCGCAGTTAGAACATTCCGGAAGAGAACAGCTCCTTAAATACTCGAATCCAGGTTTTCAGAGAGAAAAATAATAACTGGGAAGGTCGAAAGCACAATCTGGGAGACGAAATCCTTGGGGAGAGGCAGCGGGTGCTTACATGCAATGGCGAGAATTAGTAGGGGAGCAGCTCTGGCGGTCACTGTGACCTGGCCTTCGCTTCCCCAGGTGACAGTGGTTGACCATTCCAAGACCTAAGAAAGGATTCTGAGTAATACTCCCCACAGTGTCTTATCGCAGAGAAGATCACAGGCATCCGTCTCACCAGGGAGGAACCCAGCTTCCACGGCTGGGAAGCTTACCATCCCTCTGCCCCTTCTTCAGCAGGCCACTGAACGCAGAGGTCCGAGACTCTGACCTTCCCACTCCGCTGGCTGCTAAGTGGGATCTCCCTGAGTTGCTCGTTGCCATGTTGAAAACTGTCCCGGGCGTCTCTTTGCTGTTGTCAGGTTTCTCTTCTACCCTGTCCCCTACTGCCCACCACTGCCCCCCCCCCGCCCCACCTCTCCCTGCAGCCACCCCGCTGTCGCTGATGGCATCCCACCGTTTAAACATGGTGGGATTATTTTGCAATGGGTCCATTTAATTTTTATATCTAGGACAGGTACCTGGAATATCTGTGGATACGCGGGCCTGATAAGCACATCTTCATTGAGTTTATGTAACTGACTGCCTCATCCAGTATAAAGTGTTTCCCTTCGCCTGCTAGAGAGCTTGAGTGATTTGAGGTTGGCGTTCCTGGAAAAATGCTGGTGCCGTGGGATTGCTCGCACATCCGCTCGGAGCTGTGGTTTAATTCGGGCTATAGAAGGGTTGGGGGCACCTGGGGAGATCACAGAAGGCTTTTCTTCCAGATATAAAAGATGTTAAAAATAAAATCTCAAAATTCAACCTGTTTTTCTGTACATAAAGTCTGGAGCTGCTTTGTGTTTCCTTACTCTGAAAGACCTAGAATCTTTGCTCAAACCAGTAAAGGGAAAGGCGAAGCGGGTACAAGTCCGTTCCTGGACTTTTTTCCGTCTGCACCCCCAAGGGGGGCTCTGTAGACCTCAGTCTTGGTGGCTCCACACTCTTGTTTCTGCCAGTGCTCCCTCCTCTCTGACCGCCCCTTCTCTCATTTCTCTTTTCCGATGTGTGAGATAAATGAGTTTCAAGCCTCCGTCCTCAACCCTGGTCTGTCTGTCCCTCAGGTGCCTCTCCCTCTTGCCCACTCAGCAACCTCAGGTACCTGGCCTTCTGGGTCTCTGTCCCTGGTCCTGTCATCCCCGGATCCTCATCACCTTAGTCCCAGTGCCAGCCACACCCTGGAGTCCTCTCAGCTACGCTACTGGGCAGTCACGCCGTCATGCCCCATATTTAGTTTCCTTTGTATTTATTTAACTTGGAGTCCGCATGTATCTTGCATGTCCTACTTACCAAGGACAATGCCACGGCCTGGAGATGTAACAGCGGAAAGGGAAACCATGGCCTCCTGCCCTTAAGGAGCTGACAGGCTCAACTCCAGACCTCTCGACCCATGTTCTCTGTGTCTGGAATGACCCCTCTCCACCCCCCAGTCCCACTGCTGCATGTCCAGGCCTCCCCCTTCTTTCAGGCTCGGTTTTATATGCTTTCTCCATCTTGAAGCTCGTCCTCAGAACCCGTGGCCAGAAGTCACCTCTTCTGCTGTCAAACTCCCCCCTTATTGTGCTTTTTTTTTTCTTGCCTTTATTGACATTTGAGGACTTTTTTCTCTTTCTCTCAGTATAGATTCCAGAAAATCAGGGGTTGTGACTTATATATCTTTGGCCTCCCGCATAGCATAACTCATAATGACATGAATGCAGTTAAGTATGAAAGAGATGTTTGCTGAATAAATTCAGGAATTAATGAAAGTTTACTTATTTTCTTCAAATGTGTTTTTGGCATGTGTTACTTGCGTTTTATTCATCCTAAAAGTTTAATAAAATTGATTTTCTTTTTCTGTGAGTATCTACCAGGGACACAGTAAGTAATTTGAGCCCTGAGCATAATAAAAATGCAGTGGAACGCGGACAGGGGGAAATGTTTACGTTTATAGGCATATTTTCCTAAATTATAAAAAGTTAATACATGATACTATCCATATAGAATGGTATCTTAGAAAATTGAATGTTAAAATTCTCATCTCCCTTATTTTGCTTTCTGATAATAAATAATCCAAGTGTCTTTCTCTGGGAACTCACACAGAAAGGAAAGAATAGGGATTCTGGGTTTGAATTCCACCTCTGCTATCTTTTTGATTTTGTAGCCTGAGCCAAATGACTCAACACATCAACACCTCAGTCTTTATCTCTACCTGTGGGTTTCTGGACAGAATGTGTCTTCCTCATCTTGGAATTTCCTGTTCCTAGAATAGTGCTTTTGGTATTGGGTGTCAGTATTTCTTGGATGGATAGATGGATGGATGGATGGGAGAGTGGAAGGTAAGAAGGAAGGAATGATAAATGGGTGGGTGGATGGATAGAAGGAAGGAAGGGAAAGGAAAGGAATTAAGTACCTTGTCTTCCTTGAGATTTAACAATGATGTCTCTAAAGCATGTGATACAATGAGTGTTCAATCCACAGCTGTTTTTATCCTTTTCAAATTCAAAAGATCACTATTTTAGTTATGGGATTTTTTTTTTCATCTTAAGGTAGTCATTCTTCATTACATTGCTTTTATATTTAATATTTATAAGGCTCAAAGTATTTTGACCAAAATAGCCTTTTGGTAATTGATATTGTTAATCCTGTTGCTTTTTTGAAAGCACGAATTTTTTTCTGGCTCTGCCTTTTCAGATACTGGTCAAGTCTGGGAACTAGTCATCTCAGTGGCATTTATGTGTTTTTAGACAATATGAGAGGAAATGGAAAAATTTACTATTCACTCAAATGTGAATAGAGTAGGAAGTTGGACAAGGACAAATAGCAGTAATACTTTCTGTTAAAAATTAGGCAAATTCTTTATAGTCGGAGAACTCCTTTTCTGCCAAGTCTGAATCATTTTTTTTTTAAAGTTGTTGCTTTTGCAAGAATATAAAGTTCTTCATTGTATGAAGTAATTTGATTCACTTATTTACTTAGTCTTTAAGCATGAGAGAAACCTGTATTTTACAATGGCTTTTTCTCTTCTTCAACATCAGGAGGAGTGGTTATGCTCTCTAATGCTATGCTTAAGTAAAATTACACATTCGGGGCATCTAAATTGGCATGCCAAATTATAGGACATTTTAATTATTATGTGGATGTGACAGATTCAATTATTCTTGAACTCTTTTGAGAAAGCTGCCCTTAGCAGTGATTCACAGAAGTAAACAAAAGATTAACAGGAAAATGCCCTTTATGAGACTTAATACATGTTTCCGATTAAATACCATGGGACGGAATTAACTGCAGTCCCTAGATGTGGACAGACAGCCCGCGTCCTGCTTGGAGTTCCTGCCGAATCCCCTTAAGATAAATTTACTCTAAATACCACCGAAATGAAGAACGAAGTACCACTTAGCATCAGGACTGTTTTCCTAGGTACATCATTTGGGGCCAATTGTCTCAGCCTCTTTCTTCCCTCCCCGACCATTAACCAGAGCTACTAATAAGTAGAAATGGAGAGTTAAGAGCCCCTTCCTCTCCCTTTCAGTTTCCAATTAGTGGACATATTAATGAGCAGTAAAGTGGCTGAAAGGCCGGCCCTTGGAAGAAAGAAAAGGAAGCAGGGGAGATAACTGTGAAAACAATACTCAGATCTTCTGTAACTGAGATTGGGCTGCCCCCGTGGACTGTGCGGGCCACAGTCGCTGGCATTTGGAGCTCAGTTTCTTAATTACTTCTTTAGTCTTATCCAGAGAGAAAATTGGATTTCTAGAGATTTCTTCTATGCGGAGCAATTAGGCTAAAGCTGCTTCGGTGGCTGCTCTTTGAGCCGGTCTTTCGCTCCTAGAATAATAAGCTCCAACGAAAGCCAACTTCAAGGTGCACCTTACTCTTGCCGACGGGGGTATTTTGTCCCCTCTTACGGCCGACATATTCCAGGACCCTGAAGAAATTCCAGAAGCACTGTCTTCTTTTCCAGATACTGCTCAGATCCTGTCAAGGCCGCTCAGCAGTGAATCTGCCGTCAGGTCACTGCCATTTGGTCTGGATGACATCACCCTACTTTTTAGATAAATTGACTTTGATTTTCTTAAATCAAGAAATTTCCCAGGTCTGAATGTATGTATAGATGGCCCTCCAAGCTCAGAGTCTGAGAGCTAAATGCACTAACTAATAACAACCCAAAATACCTTTGGCAGAATATAAAACGCCACAGGACTGCTGAGTGCCCATAATCACAGTCTAAAACTTTCATTTTCTTCCTTTCCTATAACATTATAATAATAAAAGGTCGGGCCAGGCCTTTGTCTGCCTAGTAAAACAGGGTTATCAAACCATTTAAACACCAGCCAGGCCTACCACCCAAATGGATGCTCCCTATTCTCCTTCGCCTGCCCCTTTCCGAAATATTGTCTGAGTTATAATAGGTTACTGCAAAACATTGTGCGCTAATGGGTTTCTTTCTGCTGATTAACAGGTTTTGGATTCAGGAAGACTGAAGGAGTATGATGAACCCTATGTTTTGCTGCAGAATGAAGAAAGCCTGTTTCACAAGATGGTACAGCAGCTGGGCAAGGCAGAAGCTGCTGCTCTCACCGAAACAGCAAAACAGGTGAGCCCGCCGCAAGGAGTGGTAATTAAAGTTCATCGCAGCCGTTCACCCTCGCAATCTGGCACCAGGGGTGCAGTAACAAGCACCCTGTGCCCTTTTCAATTATAAGCCTTCAGAGACAACGCTTCATGACTGGGTCTTAACAACATGTCCCAGGTTGAAGTCAGGTCTGCTGAGAATCGGCAGAATCCGTGGGGGAGAGGGGAGCCACAGGTGTGCATGGTTACATGTGCCGGCAGGTGGGGATGCTCAGGTGCGCGGGCACGTAGGGGCGCTCGGGTGCGCGGGCACGTGGGCTTGCTCTGTGCATCGTGGGTTTCTCAGGTGCGCGGGCCTCTGTGCCTGCCTGCGGAGAGAGACCAGATTCTAAAGATTTCCCATGTTCAATTCTGGGGGGTACAGATTCTCCTGTGGCACAGAATGTCCGTGTTTTGCAGACCGGTTACATTTCAATCTAGCGGCTGTCCACTTCTGACATGCAGATGTGGTCAAGGCACATCCAGGATGTTTTGAAGAGTTTGGGGAAAAAGAAATATGGGGTGAGCCTGGGTGGCTCAGTGGGTTGAAGCCTCTGCCTTCGGCTCAGGTCATGATCTCAGGGTCCTGGGATCGAGCCCCACATCGGGCTCTCTGCTCTGCGGGGAGCCTGCTTCCCTCTCTCTCTGCCTGCCTCTCTGCCTACTTGTGATCTCTCTCTGTCAAGTAAATAAAATCTTAAAAAAAAAAAAAAAGAAATATGGGATATTTTCAGTCTAGTCTAGAAAGAGCCAGTTCTAGAAAAATTCAGCTATGTGTAGGTGGATTTTCTGTTTCATGATTTGTAAAGAAAACTACATGATACGGGTACTTCCTGCCCAGGTTCCTCCCTGATTCTTGGTTGTTTAGAATCAGGCCTCGTTCCAAAACCTGTGCTTCCTCTGCCTTGTGGATAATGAATTCGACGTTGGAACGATCAAGAATCTGTACTGTTTTAATGCTGTAGTCTGAGTGGTGCTTGAAGATTTACAAAGCATTTTTATAGAGATGATGGGTGTGAAAGTACCAAGCACTGTATTTGGTGAGAAAAAGGTGCTCAGTGAATAACATTCAGATTATCTGGTATCTTTCTAATAACAGTATTAAAGCATCTCATTGTACAAGTGTGATGTGAAAACTGAGGGCTGCTTTCAGGGACTTAAGCTAATGTCCAGCATCACTTGTAACTCTTTCTGATACAAGGTGGGAATTGGATTGATAGATGGAGGGAAGAAAGGAAAATCAGGTGTTCTTGCCATTTGAGATGCATGGAACCAACAGTCTTCTGAGGTTCCCCATCAGAACTCTTCCTCAGGGGCATTTTAATTACGGATACATTTTTCTTTTCATCATTTTTTTTTTCTTTTGCATTTCCCAGATTTTCACTGTGGGGAAAAATTACTTGTGTAATATCTTAAGTATCTGGAGGAAATCTGTCCTAGGATCTAATAGTACTTGCATATAAGAGATTTATCTAAAACACAGCTTGAATTTTCTTCTGTCCCTGCTTCATCTCACCCCTCCTTAGAAACGAAGAGCTGTGCTTCTATTGTTTGTAAGGGATTCCTTTGAATTCTGCTTCCGTCCTCAAAAACTGTTCAGTAAATGTATGTATGTGTGCACAGTACTGTGCTGGGAACTCACGTGTCAGAGATGTGCCTTAGTCATCTCCGGTATATACCCCAGAACTGAGAAGAGCAGAGATACTCCGTCTTATGTGCTGAGCCTTTGGAGCCGCAGGATGAGGCTTAGATGTCACACGCCATGCCCTGTACCGTGCTAGAGCTTGTCTCTTCCCGGTGCTGATTTAAGAGGCTGAGATTTCAAGAGGGGAAGGACATTGCTTGAATTCACACAGCTAGCTGAATAACTAGGAGATTCAGAGTTCAAACCAAAGGTCAGGGACAAGGAAATCTGTACCCTGAACTTTTCATAAATACCTACATTGTATGTGAAGGTAGAGACGCTACACTTGGAGCCCTGTGTTGCTTTTATGCCTGAAATTCAGAGTGTTTTCATCTAGTGTCTCCCAGGGAGCCCTTCCCTCCTAATACCCAGTCAGTCAGTCACTGGGGATCCCCTGTATCATCTACTCATGAAACAGCCAGGAATCTCACAAACCCCTTTGTTCTTTAACCTCAGGCAGTTCACATCAAACAGATGGGTCCCCGCCTACGTGTCAAAGCCTCCATCTTAAAAATGCGTCATCACTGTATATTATCAAGACGTTGAGTAATGAGAAATAAATCACAGATAGTTCCAGATAACAAAAGACAGTATATATTTGAATATATATATATATATATATTTATATATATATAAATGAGGAAACTAAGGCCCCTTATAAGGAAGATAGCTCTAACTTATGTTAACTCTAGTTTGCAGCAGACGCAGAAGTAGAAATCGGTCCTTTTAACATGTTTTAGTGCAAGTGTAAGGTACGTACAGAAATGTTCATAGGTAGCAGAGTTAGAAATCTTGTGGTACCCAGTCCAGTAATCGTACACCTCATTTAACAATATTAATGGCGTTACATCTGGGTAGTTCTCTGTGTGTATTTCTTGCTCTATTATATTTTTTTAATTTAAATTGAATTAATTAACATATAGTGTATTACCCAGTTACCCAATCCCCCCACTATTCTCCCCTCCGGCAAAGCTCAGTTTGTTTCCTGGGGTTAAGAGTCTCTTACGGTTTACCTTCCTCTCTGATTTTGTCTTGTTTTATTTTTCCCTCCCTTCTCCTATGATCTTCTGTTTTGTTTCTCAAATTCCATGTATGAGTGAGATCTAGTTCCATGCATGTCATTGCAAATGGCAAGATTTCCCCCTTTTTGATGGCTGAATAGTATTCCACTGTATATATATTGTGTGTACACACACACACACACACCACATCTTCTTTATTTACTCAGCTGTCAATGGACATCAGGGCTCTTTCCATCGTTTGGCTATTGTGGACATCACTACTATGAACATTGGGGTGCATGTGCCCCTTCGGATCACTGCATTTGTATCCTTGGGGTAAATACGTAGTAGAGCAATTGCTGGGTCGTCAGGTAGCTCTATTTTCACCTTTGAGGAACCTCCATACTGTTTTCAGAGTGGCTATACCAGCTTGCAGTCTCATATTTGGGCCGTTCTTGATCATTTATCGTATACGGTTCTCACATGTATGATTTCACTTCATCCTCATGGCGGTTCTTTCTTATCCCAAATCTCAGTTCATGGATGAGGAGAGTGGATCGAGGACTCACCTAGGGCCACAGAGCTGGTCAGTGGAGAGCAGAGGGCGAATTGCTGGGTGAGGCAGAGAGCTGCTCCAGTCCAAGAGTTAAGTATCAAAACCCTGCTTCTTTTCTTATGAGGTGTCCAAGGTGAGGCCAGGTTCTCCTAATGCAGAACATCCCCGTGGGATTTCAGTCCTGCCACTGGCTCAGATCCACTCTCTGGAGAGATGTAAGGACATACATGCCCCAGTTCTCACCCAATTTGAGTATCTTCTTGACATTACTTCTGCATATGCTTGGTCTTCTTAGAACAGGCGGTCAGATGGTGTGAGTATCGAATATCAGTGCATCACAGAGAATGAGAACAGCAGGCAGATTAGCATAAGTCAACAAGGTTTCCACTCCTAAGAGACTGGAATTCATTCCTTTGACAAGAAAACTCAGCATCTAGGAAAAGAGAGTTCCAAGTCGTGTTTTCTTTACATACAGTTATTTTTCTGAAAATATTGGCATAGGCAAGCTTAATCATTCTCTGATTGACCCTCAGAGATGAGCCATGAAATAGTAGAGAAAGTATTTTTTAGGTATATTAAGCTGAAAGGTGCATTAGGTGTCTTAAAGCAACAGAAATGTATTTCTCACAGTTCTGGAATCTGGAATTTTGAAACAAGGTGTCTCAGGGTTGGTCTCTGAAACATTTCAATTGGCTTGTAGGTGGCTGTCTTCTCCCTTTGTCTTAGCATGGTCTTCCCTCTGGGTGTGTCTTTGTCCTAATCACCTCTCATACGGGTACCCATCAGAATAGATTAGGACCCACCCATGTGACCTCATTTTAACTTAACTGACCCTATGTCCACATACCAGTCCCATTCTGAGGTATTGAGGGGTTAAGATTTCAACATAGAAATTTTGAGGGGACACAGTTCAGCCCATAACCAAGGGTGAATGCCTGTCATTCATTCTCTTCCATGGTGAAACAGACCTAATTAAGGTTTTTTGGAGTTCTTTGTTCCCAGTGCGTAACAGGTGCCATTTTATCCATTCGTGAAATCACCAGATACAGCCCCAAAGTCAGGAAATCCTGATATCCTATGTCTTATGAGCCTGGACCAGTTGGAACAGGTGGAAGAAATGCTTAGCAGCCCCATGGTCCTGTATGTCTTCTGAGGTCCCTGAGCCTCTCGGGGTCCTTATTTGCTGTGCTGGGGTTACAGCACTGCCCCACTCATCGTGCTCTACTACAAGGACCAGATGAGATGGTATATACTTACCTGCGTTGAAGAATACAGAGCATTTTACAAATAGAAGAGACTTATCTCTCAATGATCAGAGGGGGATTGGTTTCTTGAAGGCTGTCGATGGAACCCTCACCTCTCTATAATAACAAAAGAAGTCCCCAGAGTTCTTCTAGGTAGCTTTAGGGACTCTTTAATGGTTAAAATTTATTTTTAATAACAGGGTTTTTTTTTTTTCAGATGATAAAAGCTAGTGCCACAAAATTCAGAAACTTTGCTATTTTTAAAAAGAGTTGTTTTAGTTTATAAATAAAATGTAAGTCCTCTGCCCCCTCCTGTTGTGACTTGGCTCCACCCTCAGGAGGGACCCTTGGCACCACTTGGGGCCGTCCCGTTGTGTGAACACAAGCTTGTGCGTAGCCAGCCTTTCTGTGTTTGAAGCACCAGTGACTGCCATGTTTTACTTTTTCATTTACTCTCTCCAATTATATAAATGCATGTAGTTATCTCATTCTTTTTAT